CCATGTAGCCACGGTTGATTGCCTTCCAGCTTTGTTGTGTCGACCGCAAGCACTGCATTGTGATATGGTAGAGGATGAGGTCTAGTAATCTCACATTCCATACACAGACGCCATTAGCGCAATGTGGTACCGTAACCTGTCGGGCTTGGTAAAGAAAAAGCTCTCCACTCCACTGTAGATGCGTACATCCTTCGGCAATACATCAGTATACCACCCCTGGCCACGCGTGTATCCCAACTCTCGAGCTAAAGATAGCTCTAAGCCTCCGCCATGATCCCAACTGCTACGTTTGTGTATGTGATGCTTCGGTGCATCGTTTTCGGGCCGGTCCTGAAGAGGCAGGTGGATTCGCGTGGAGTAGGAGGTCGCTTGCCGATGGCTCGAATACGTGCTACTAGGTCTCGGATAAATGAAAGCTGTGTGATCACCTACATGCATAATATATTAGCCCTAGGCAATTCAAGAAGCGGGTGAACGGAACAGAAGGTGGTATAAATACGCGATCCTCATTCACCGAAAGGACCTCAGGAGTGTAGCTTCGGACTTCTCTACGCCTTGGCAAGGATCCAGCGTGTACGTAGTATCGTCTTTCCAGTATTCATATTGCGCGTCGCGTATACGAGATGTGTCTAGGCGTGTTCCCCGCGCGAGTAGGAGCTCCAGTCGTCGTCGACGCGCGAGATCGTCCAAAAAGAGGGCTCGGGAAGAGAAAAACGCGAAGAATGTGTCAAAAGAGGTGGAAAGATGAGGGAAGGTGCCAGTTTTCTAGAGGATTTCAAAGGTTTAGTTGTCGAGATATGCAGCTTCAGGAGATGGAGAAGCACTGACCCTAGGCAGGTCTGCCAAGCAATGAAGGACCTCCGAACGGCGAGAAATATCCGCAGCAACCACAGGCCTATCGCTATCCAACCCCTGTAGATTTGGTCAATGAGAGGTTTTGGATGTCCTTGAGATCGGCCGTGGAGTGCAATCTGTAGAAACGACAACATCGGACGGTATCATTATAAGGTGTGGCTGGTCTACTCGCATCATCGAAGCAATTCCCTTAAGCAGTAAACAGCCAGTCACTCGACGGTCAAAGAACACGAAACTTCACACGATTGATGTCATTATCATGCTTATGTATTGTCTAGTTGCAAACTCCTCATGGACCTTGTAGATCGTACGCAAGTCCATCACTAGCGATTCAACCCAGACTCTTATCCACAGCTTCGTAGGAGTCGAAGTAGCTGAGCGACAGAGTCTGCCAAAAGATTCGTCCGTGTTCCCCTGCGCGAGCCGAATGTCTCCAGATAGCGAGGACTAGCAAATGTATCCGAGCCCTCGATGCGCATGCTGGCTGTGGCACGGAAATGAGCAACAACCAGCTGCGACCATGCTAGACTTGATACGTTTTGCTAGTATCTGCCATTGCGCTCCCTGTTATATCTTTACCTCTCGTTGTAATACCTTCCACTCGCCCCTATGCCCACTTTCATTGCAACCTCACAGCGCGCGCCCAAGCATCCAGCTGATGTGCGGTTGAGATAAGCATTCCTAGCAGGTTGTAGGAGCTGAACGGTGGATGGACGGGCGCTGTTAAGCGGGGCGCATGTAAATTGAATTGGAGGGCGGCATGCTGCTGCAATTGGTACGTTTGGAGTCGGTGTCGTTGTGCACTTAGCGTCGAAGGCGTTCAATGGCTGCAAGAGGAACATGCTCGAAATTGCTTTAGGCGATAAGCCACATCTGCAGCCACGAGATGTCGGAGCCAGGTTACGAGAGTGGAGGTTATCGGGTTGGGGGTGGGATTGGTCACGACCGTCTCCAAAAGCCTGAGGGTCGTACTGTGAGATTGCGCTTGTGTATCTAGGTGCTTTCAGTGAATGCAAGTTAAAATCTGCTTCGGATACCGTTCTCCATCCATGTGAGATGAGTGTATGCGCGATGTGCGTGCAAGGATAACCATGCAACCTTCGCACGCCAGTCGAGTAGCGAGCTGTCGCCAATCACTACCTCCTTACCATGTCCGAAGGTGACCACGATCAACGGCGTGGATTTCGCGCATACTTTCCCCTTGTATGAGCCAGCGAGCAAGAATCTTTGGGGTTAAAGATCTAGCTTACTGACGCTGCTGTCCCCTTCGCATTGTCTCTCGGTATGCATACAGTGATGTGAACGGACTCGCTATGCGATGCCCGTAGGTACTGTTTGCTCTACACCTTCATCTGTTCCTCCCCTGCGGCACAGCACGGGAAGGAAGGGTGCCGCCAGGGAAAACAATCCTAACGGTACGGAGATCTCAAGCATGCATGGGCATGTGAACCGCAGGCGCTTCTATATTCGCCGTCTACTCGGTACCGTTGCGTGGGGAAGATCGTGAGGTTCGTTGAGTGCCACCGCGTTAACGTGATTGGCAAGGTTATCGGGCGCGTTTGCAGGAATTTCGGCAGTTGCGTAGGAGGGACGGGTACCTGGCTCTCGTAAAGTGTAGCTTGTAAGGAATACGGTCGCTTAATCGTGGATACCAGCATTAGCTTTCTTCTCCGAGAGGTGGTCGTATCTGAGTAGGATGATGGGTCAGCTCGTGTTTTGGAGATGATCGGGCGTACCTTTGTCAACAGCAGAGTGTGAGCTCTACTTAATAATCGTAGGGAGCTGGAAAAGCTTTGTACAGCTGTGACGAGACCGCGAACGAAAACGTCGATTGTCTGACGGGTGCGACGTCGTAGCATAGACGACGATGAATCGAACGCGTCGTGAGCGCGCGAAAGAGACTTTCGTCGCGCCTTCTAGACTCATGACAGACCATCGCCGAACTGTCTACGCACCTTGTAATCACCCCCGGCTAGCCCCCGGTGGCCACAGGCGTCCAGTGCGGCGGGAATTTGCGCCCAGACACTCCCCAGGTCCTGCCTCCGCCCCCAAGCAAATGCGGGCGGCCTGAAGGTCCAGATAACATTCAAAGGAAGGGATTCGTGAGAACATGAAGATACCGAGATCTTGTCTTCTGGTATGCCTGGTGCCGATGAAGACTTCGACAATGCCTTCATCCTCTGATGGCGTAATGACCCCAAGGCGGGGGCCAAAAACTTCGCACCGACCAAACGCATGGCCCGCCTCTTCCTCGCGGGCGGCACCAGGTGGAGGATCTGCGCCACCCCTGTCTAATCTTTCAGACATTGCGCCTCCGAATCCTCCAACCTCGAACCCTTCTAGGCGGCGTAGCGGACCTTTTTGCAGGCCTGTCAAGCGAGATTGGAGGTGTGAGCGGCACGCATCGTCATCCGACACGAAATTGAAGAAAGGAGAGGCAAAAGTGGACGACAGCATCCTCTCATATTTTCTCAGGTTTCTGTGAAACGTTGAAGTCCATTGGCTCTGCAGCATCAACAACTGTACTTATCCGAACCGAGTTGCGAAACAGTAGATCAAATCCCCCAGTACATTGTCGGCCATACAAAGACCGTCAGAAGGGAGCCTGCTGCGGAAGCGCCGCAACGGCTGTCAAAAGCGGATCTCCATCCTTGCCCAAGCTTCATCCCAATGTTTGCTGACCGGTCGGTCTCTGACTCAGGTCGCGTGGCTGGGGCAACGCCACTTCTCCTGAGAATCGCTATGTCCCACCGCCGGGATTGGTAGACGTGAAAAGTTCAAGGGGCAACGGCAGCGGCGTCTTGAGCGCCCTGCTGGTTCGATGAGGTAGTTTGAGACTGGACGCCTGTTGCAGCAGGCTGTGGTTGTGGTGGCTGGTTGGCTACCGAATTGGGATAGCGAATCGATGAAGCCTCGTGAGCTTTGTGGGCGTGTTGCATGGCGCTCTCTCGATTTGCGCAAATAAGTCCGTATGTGAGGCCCTTTTCCAAGGCTAAAGCATCGCATCAGCGCCTATGTCCACGACGATGCCAGAGGAGAATAAGAGGTTCATACCATCCTTCGACCATACGATCCGAGAGTCATGTGGCTGTAGTTTGGACGACATCTTTCGCTAGTTGAGCTAATTGACCGTCGCAGGGGTTCTCGCGGTAGAGAATATCGAGGGCTAAACAGCTGAAGGCCAAAAGAAAAGATTTATAGTCGGATAACGGGTGCTATCTGTGCTAGCCGAAGTGACAAGTCGTGCGAATTTGACCTGGAGTTTGGTGCGCGCAGGTGGAGCCATGACCGATCAGCCTTGCAGCGCTGTCCAATTCCAAGGTAGCCCGCGTAGAGGCTTCCAATGGGCCGAAAGCAGTGCTTTCATAATTCATAATGTCTGTAACGGAGTGGTAAAGATGTCGGATGGGTAGGTGACTAGGTGACGCGATCCATCGAGCATTATTGTGATTTCGCATACCTCCAGCGCTCCGTAGCTGGGTATTGGTATATTACCAGGAGCGACCGCTTTAGCTTGGCCTAGCTGGGTCCGCTTCGATGGAGTACGTGAAAGGTTGGGGTTACCGAGACGACTCAGCATATGCTCTCCGGTTCCGTAATGCCACGGATCCGAGAAGAACAATAACAGCGTGGCGGTTCTCTGTCCACGAGTGCGTTCAGGTTATGTCATCTGATGCCGGGGAGCGGCAGTAAGCTTTGGCTTTGCGGTGCGCCGTCCTGTCCAGGTACACTTTCCATTCGCCGACGATGAGGCAGCGCCACTGCAGCCGATGTTGGTCTAGCGCATCACGATCCGGTCTAGAGTGGATCCCAGCTTGGGTCTGGTACTTTTGCCCAGTGTCGGTTTGGTTGAACGCTTCTGATAACATCTCATCGTGAAATAGCGCTGCTTATCAGTTTTATCTCCCAAAGAGGGTGCATGACACGCTGGAGCTACCAGCGATGCGACGAGATCTGCGCCCATACCTGACGGAGATGTGTTGCACACTCAGCCTGTCCCGTAAGTCGTATGCGTAACGTTTACAGGATGCATAAGGGTCTGAGCTGCTTCACGCTGCCGAGTGCTGTCGTTGAGCAGTAACGTTACAAGGACAGCGCATACCCTGTATAGTTGGTAAGTCTCCGGGAGTAGAAGATATCTGTACTTACGTCGAAAGCATAGAGACGAACTTCTGATTGCGAAACAACAGACTGCAAGCGGTTATGATTACAGCAATAACGATAACCCCTACGACGCTTGATGCACGCTCCGCGGTGAGGTACAGGGAGGTAACGGCCACATATATGAGCAATGAAGCTAAGATGTTTCCGGAAAGTTCAACCACAGCTTCGAATCTGCGCATGCTGAAGGCCTCATACACATACCCGACTGGGGGTGGTCTTGACCAGGTCAGGGCCATCCAGAGCCAGGCTGGAATGTACGGAGCCCACAGGGCAAACTTATCCCAGAAGAACCTTCCTATCTTACTGAGACTTGGCTGATCGATGATCTGGTAGATGTCGAATGCGTGGCCTTCCTGATCGTTCGTCGAGCCCCAGACCGCTCCGTCGAGTCCCAAAAGAGCACCCGGTGGTCCACGAGTCTGGTCAAACAAGACCTGTAAATTACGAAGGTCCGCGACATCGTAGCCTTTCCCGGCAAGGCGATTGAGTCGCAGCAGTGCTTCTTCTGCTGATGGTCAGTCTATGTTGATTGCAGCTCCAAGATGCCTACCATATTCCTTCAACTCGCTCTGAAGCTCTTCGTACAGCCAACACTGAGTAGCCTCTGGAGGGACTCCAGAACTTCTCGATTCTGCTTCGATGAGAGCAAAGTCTTTCAAGATATTCGGGTTCTTTTCAGCATCGCGTTGTTCAAGATGCAGCAGGTCCTTTTCCAACCTGGTCAGTTTGTACTGGCGATATAGCAGAACGCGGATTGCGAGAGCGGAGAATTTTCGCAAATGCAAATATCTGCTGTTTTGCGAAAAGAAGAAAGCAAGACTAGGATAGCCGTCCTTGTGGAGTGTCGCATGGTTGCCCGGGTTTGCTGGGGCTGGCTGTGCCGAGGATGCGTGTTGAGGTGTCGCGTAACTGGCTGAGGCCGCCATTCGTCCGATGGTGTGGAAAGAACCTGGTAAGGGAACCAACGTTCGAAAGAGGTAAGGCGAGAACGCAGAGGACCGTGGAACAATTAGAGTATAATCGCCGAACGACTGAGATTTCCCCAAGACAAGAAGGTAGCTGACATCCGTAGACAAGGAGAGAGAACAGGGCACTCTTTGGAGAGCCTGAGGGTGGAAAATAACCAAGAGAAGACCCGAGTTTCTACTGTTGGGTTCAACTGAGTTTGTTTGGGCTGACGCGGCTTTGCGGTGATGAAATCGAACGCTGTCCCTTTGGACTATATACCTAGCAGGTCACCAGGAAGCGACCGCATCATCTAATTGGAGTGTTAACGGCCAAATACCGGGCTGCAAGATTGAGAGGAGGGGAGGCATGAGAGAACACCACCATGATGCCTAGCATCCGTCCAAACCTAGGTCCTCGACAGTATGTGAGGCGCAAGGGAGGTGTGGTGCCTGACTCGCGCTTACTGCGAAGCTATCTCTGGCTGGTGCAATGAAGAGATATCCGCTGATGCAATTGCCGCTGATAGAGTGCGGGGGCAGACGCCCATATAGATGCAGGTCGGAGCTCCGTGGGTGGTCGAGTCGCAAAGCCACTGGTGGGCAGCCTGCGCCGCCGACATCGAGAAGGAATCTGTGCGACCACAACATCAATTCGAACTCGACGGGACAAGAGGCACGGTGTACACATTCCATGTATACTGCGAGCAGAAGCGCCGGGAGAGTTGAACGCCTTCTACACCTGGCCAAAGCGACTCACTCGCAAGGCTGATGGATGGCTGCGATAGGTGTTGAGGACTTCCGATCAACTTCCTAAAGATAAACACGATCTCTTTCGCCAGTTCTGAACGCAGAGATGATCCCACCTGTCTGCAAGGGTAAGTGGCGAGTGCAGAGACGATGATTGTGCAACAGTCACTATCTTTGGCAGTGGTTACCAGGAGAATTTGGTATCACAGGTGCCGCTTGAAGTGCTGTCGGAAGCCTCGAGCTGATGAGGCCAGATCATGGCTGTGTCACCGCTGGATCGTGGCGGTCAATCCCCCGTGAGACGGCGGCTAGCATGCGCAGAAAGAATGGTGCTCGGTGAACGTAAAGAATTGAGGTCGAGAATGGGCTGCGAGTGATGATTTTGGGATGGCACCAGCACCCAGAGCTGAGTGACACCTGGGTGCGCTAGAACGAAGCTAGGCAAGAGTCTCCACCATGCTACCCACTTGGGCAGGTTCGACCTGACATGTAAATCAACAGCACAGTAGTTACAAACAAGTAAGGATGTGATTTCGATTGTTTGAGAGATTTACTCTGATGATAGAGAGATATGCTAGATCAGTCATAAGAGATTACATTTCATCTCAAAGCCATGTAATAATAGTACTATGTGCCGAACTCATCTCCTCTTGGTCAGGCGCTGAGGCCCAAGATACACTCCCGCCGTAACAACCACAGGCCAATGGTTCTTGTACATTAGCCTCTCCAAAGCCAACTCTAGTTTCAGACTGAGACCACTTGATGGCCATGCAAGTCAACACCTCTGTTGCTCAGCGCTTGATACCACAACCAAGCTTTGGGGTATCACTGTCCTTTCCGTCTCGAATTTCTCAGCTCCAGCCCCATACGCGCCGGGCGCGATAGTCGGCCACCGCCCGAACGAAGGGCGTTTTGTAGCATTCTGAGGCCCCAGTGAGCCGGATGATAGCCAATCAGTATTCCCCACGTCCTCTGCCACCCCTGCCCCTCCGGCCTCCGCGCTTCTTGCGATCCCAGTTGCCCCTAAAGCCGCGACCACCTTGATGACCGTTCCTCTCATCCCTCTCGCGATCCTCCTCTTCTCTCCTCATCATCTCGCGCTCGCGCTCTATCCGCTCAGCCTCGAGCTCCTCGGGGCTCTTCTCTACCCGCACCTCGGGCTTCTTGAGTTCAGTGGGGAACCGTGGGTGTGCGCCGTACTTGCAGCCCTTTCCTTCGGGACAGAATCCGCAGAGGTAGAAAGGACACAGCTTCTCCTTCTTGTTGTGTTTGAGTGCGCAGTATGGCCCTAGCGGACAGAAGCCTCTGTCGTAATGCGGGCAGGACGGGCGCTTGGCTTCGGGGTCGATGTGGAGGTAGAGACAGTCGTCACCGTTAGAGCACGTCTGTGTGCGAGCGTAGTAGGAGCACTCGGGCATTCGTCGTAGGTTGTACTCGTGGAGGAACTCGCATGTTTCGCCCTTTTTACACAAGCCACGCAGCCAATGTTTGCATACGAGACTGGGATTTGTTAGTCTATGAGTGCATAGATGCTCAATTACGAATCTGCATACTTGTTGTAGGATGACGAGACGTTGTGTTTGTTCGGACACCTGTTCCCATCGGGACAGTGGCCTTGGAGATACGCTTTGCATACTGGACGGTCTGGACTGAGGCCGAAGCGATATTCACGCCGAAGAAACTCGCTGAATTTGAATGTATATTGTGGCTGTTGAGCTTCTATCGGCTTTGTTTCGGGCGCGGGCGTTGGTACGGGGTTCATAACTTCAGTCATCGCGGCGCGCTCTGACTACCTCATGTGGGTGAGTAGTATGCGATAGGCGCAAAGGATAGAGTTGGGGTGCTGCGTTGCTGCTGTGACGTCGCTGGAGCCCGCGCGATCACCAACCTCGAACCTTGGAAAGAGGCGAGAGCGAGGGACGCGGAATCACGTGGACGCTAAGATGCTGAGCTTCATTGTTCCGGCCCGACGGCGATCACCGTGCTTCCGCATCCACATCTGCATCTGCAACTTACCGGATGCGTATTACATGGCGGTTACATCCCGCTCGGCCTTCGACTTACCCTGATCTACCTACTACATGTGCGTTTCCTGCGTGCCGTCGAACCGATCGTGCGACCCTGAGACCCCCACGCATACGACGCTTCACGGTGCTCACTTTGCTCTTCTCGGCCCGTCGATACGCTTTGCAGGAACTGTGATTTCTCATCAACGCGTTCGCAGTTATGATCGTTTCCAGGTTTTGCTTCCGTGCGGGGTCGTCCCTCCACCTAGTCACCATTCATGCAACACGGCGTTCGATGCTCCTTGGCTGCTATACTTCTAGCCGCTTGCGTCATGCCCTCTCCCCACAAGGATCCGGAAAGCCGTTCCTGGTCGTGTAATGAGCAGTCAATATTCCGCCTGTGTTCCGCAATCATTTGAGAAATTGTCCTGGGCTCAATATTGACTACTTCGATACCCAGTTTCGCATCACTGTGTCCTTGCACTTCCGCTGATGTGGGTAGAGCTGAACCGTTGGGTGGAATTCATCGTTCTACTCTTGAAGCACTAGGCCCACATTACGAGGTCGGAATATTGAGAAAATTGCAACCTCGTACGCGACACAGGCCTGCTTCACGCGATCATGGATGCTTGGGGTAGCAGTTTAGTGTGTACTTGTAGTCCATCAGTTGCCAGACTGGGCCTCACCGTCTAATCTGTAGTAAAGCCACTATAGCAAGGCCTGCATGGAAGCCTTCGTCCTTTCTAGGATGATTGCGCGGTCCGTCGGTCTCAAGACGATCATCCGAAGCATTGCATCACCGATGGCCTCTGGTGCCACTATTGATTGCGTTGCATTTATATTCTTATACAAGCAGGAAGTGCTTCAGAATTACACTGGACAATCTCGACCTATTCCTTCGCCTTCTCTTGCCTACTAACTTCTCAGCCACAGAATCTTCGACACACAACCCGCTCTGTTGAACTACTTACATACCTGTATATTTTCGTTACCAAGACCAAATTTCGAAACCAAGACGAAAAAGAGCTTCCGATATCCGTCCAGCTTTGATCCTTCAAAGTCCGGGTACCCGCCTATACCTGCAGGGTGTTCTGACGTGCAGCAAGCTAGGCTGTAGCTGACGACGACCGAAAATGAGCCGACACTACTTCAACCCGCCTGGTCACGACACCACTTTCTCTACACCGCTGCAAGCCATGTACTGGAACGGAGTCTACTATCCTAACTGGCGCATCTATCGCGACCAGCCACCCGTGTCGCTGAACTACGATGTCATCTCGCACGTTTTCTATGCGTTTGCCTGGTACGCTAAGTGCTGGATAGAGTTACTGGGTGATAGGGCTAATACGGTCACAGGGTGAAAGATGATGGAACTGTCTACGTACGTATGTCAGATGTACAGAAGTCTCACCGACTGACTCGCATTGTAGCTGAGCGATGAATGGGCGGATGCTCAAATCGAGGTTCCAGGCACTGACGACATTCCTGCCACGAAGGGCTGCCTGAACTCCTTTGCTCTATTAAAGCGAAAATACACTAGACTACGGGTTGTATTGTCTGTCGGTGGAGGCGGGAAAGGCAGCGAGCCTTTTGCTGGTGTAGCTCGAGACCCTGCATGCCGTGAGCGTTTCGCTCAGTCGTCGCTGGCACTGGTACAGCAGTTCGGAATCGATGGAATCGATAGTCAGTTCCCCAAACCAAGTTGAAGAGCCTCTACTAATCAGGCAATAGTCGACTGGGAGCACCCTTCAGATGCCAGTCAAGGTCAGGATTACATCGCTCTTCTGGCTATACTTCGCCAGTACTTGCCAGCCCCTCAGTACACTCTCTCTTCGGCACTTCCAGCGGGCGAATGGGCCCTTCAACACATCAACCTGGGACATGCTTCGCACTATCTGGACATGATCAACCTTATGGCTTACGACTACTCTGGACCGTGGGTCAGCAAGTGCGGACATCAGGCTCAACTATTCACACCACACATCCCGCACAGTCCCGAGGCCGCAATATCCTGCCATTCAGCTGTCTCGTATATGATGCAGCAAGGTGTCCCAAGACACAAGATTGTCATGGGTGTGCCAGCATATGGCCGCAGTTTCACCGGAACCCGTGGTATTGGCCACTCGTTCTCTGGGCAGGCAGGAGAGGAGGGCACATTCGAGTACCGAGATCTACCACGTCCGGGTGCGGAAGAGCACGTAGACGAGCAGCTGGGCGCGGCCTACTGCATTGGTGGTGACGGAGGCCTGGTCACATACGATACCCCGCACACAGTCAGAATGAAGGCCAACTACGTGCGTCAAAACGGACTAGGTGGACTCTTCTATTGGACCGGCACAGGGGATGCAAGCTCGCTCACACAGAAAGACCGCAGTTTAGTGTACAACGGGTTTCTGGGTCTCTTCCCGCAATAGTGCCTGGGTCGTAGTGGTAAGCCCCACGTTTAAAAATTAAGTGGTATACAAATATATTTATGAACTCTGGTGTGTATGAGTGTTGTGTCTGTACTCTGTATACGTTCAAAGGCGATGTTACCACACGTCAGGGTGCTCTAGCGCGATGCGCTCGGACCTCGGAGTACGGGACCCTGATTGAGGACGCGTGGGATATTGGCTTGTGAAGCATGGGGGACGTCAGGCAATTGCCAATAATACCAAATCGTGCGTACTGTGTCCTAGACAGATAGGATACCTCTCCTCTGAATTTGCACCCCGGCCGTGCCTTCCTTGCCGCTGCGACGACTGCAACCGTGTACCGCGAGCGCATGCCATTGACGCGGACGCCCGCCGAACCACATGCCTGCACCCTCCACCTCGCTGGAATCTAGTACGCAGTCCCAGTAACACCCACAAGCATGGATTCCGCGCTGACGCTCAATGCAGCTTCATACGACCCTATCGATCACCTGAACGCCATCTTTTCCCACCCCGCCGCGCTCTCGTCCGTTTCTGCCACGTCGGACGCCCTCCGCAGTTACCAGCATGACCTCGACGAAGACATCGCGGGCGTTGTCGCCTCACAGTCCACTGCCGATGCCGACAGTGTGCAGCGCATCCAGGCCGCCAAGGCAGAGCTGGCTGACCTCTTCAAGAAGATCGAGAGCGTCCGAGAGCGGGCCATGCAGACTGAGCAGACCATCACCGAGATGACTGCAGACATAAAGCGCTTGGATAGCACCAAGAAGAACCTGACGCTCTCCATGACAGCGTTGAAGCGCCTTCAGATGCTGACGACGGCATACGAACAACTACGGAGCCTCAGCAAGTCGCGCCAATATCGGGAATGCGCACAGCTTCTACAGGCTGTGATACAGCTCGTGGCACACTTCAAGAGCTATCGCTCGATAGACCAGATCGCAACGCTGAGTCGCAACGTGGCAGATGTGCAGGGCGAATTGCTGGAGCAGGTCTGCGAGGACTTCGAAGTGACATTCGCCAAGGGCGAAACAGCGCAACGGAAAGGGATGCTGGCGGAAGCATGTCTGGTCATTGATGCGCTCGGAGAGCACGCTCGTACACGGCTTATCAACTGGTACTGCAATACGCAGCTCCGCGAGTACCGCCAGGTCTTCCGGGGCAATGACGAGGTGGGACACTTACACTCTTCCATGGCAACATGGCGCTAATAATAACAGGCTGGATCCTTGGACAATATCGGGCGAAGATACAGCTGGTTCAACCGCATGATGAAAACATATGATGTCGAACACGCTTCCATCTTTCCAGCCTACTGGAGAGTAAACGAGATGCTGGCCAACTCGTTCTGCGAAGGAACCCGCGAAGACTTCAAGTCTATATTACAAAAGGCTGTGCGGAGAGGCGACGGGCAGAGTCTGGACGTCGAACTACTCCTTTCGTGCTTACAGGAGACGCTGGACTTCGAACACAGCTTGGAAAGGCGGTTCTCTAACGAGGTTTGTGGAGACAATCTACCACATTGGAACAAGTACTCATTCCCCCGCAGTCACGTTCTTCGATGGACACAGTCGCCTCTAAGGACGATCGGCCGCATGGCTTTAGTCAGGCCATTTCCGAGGCTTTTGAACCCTACATGAGCCTCTGGGTCGAGTCTCAAGATAAGTAGGTTACACACACGTATCTGTCGAAAACAAAGCTGACTTTGTAGGCAACTTGCCAATTTAATGCCAAAGTATCGGCAACAACCCCTGCGCAATCCAGAAGAGGACTTCTCACATCAAGCTGTCATACCCTCATCGACAGAATTATTCCAATTCTATCGCATGACATTGGCGCAGTGCGCCAAACTTTCGACTGGAACGAGGCTCCAAGAGTTATCCATGACTTTTGCCAAGTACCTTGACCAGTACGGCCAGCAGGTGCTGTATTACTTCCTTAGTGAGAAAGCAGGACCGCAAGGACCATCTGTCGAAGACGCCATCCTCATTCTCAACACTGCAGATTATTGTTACATGACTTGCAACCAACTGGAAGAGAAAATCAGAGGTCGCATAGACGAAGAGTTCAAGGAAAAGGTTGATCTGCAGAGCCAGGCGGACGCCTTCATGGGTATCGCTAGTGCGACAGTTCGAATGCTTGTCCGGAAAGTGGAAATCGCGTGCGAGCCTAGCTGGAGGGAGATGCGCAACACGCCTTGGGCAAAGCTCGAGAGCGTTGGCGATCAAAGTTCCTACGTGGGAGAGCTTCTGCGTAACGTGAAGGAGAGATCTGGAGAAATCCTGAAGTATCTTCACAAACAGCAATATGCGCGAGCTTTCAGCGATAACCTTGTCGACTTAATGGCTTCCATCTACATTGCGAACATAGTGCAGTGCAAGCCGATCTCCGAAGTTGGCGCGGAGCAGATGCTGCTAGACTCGTACGTGCTGAAGAAAGGCTTCACAGAGCTACCCACGCTCAATGAGGAGCCTGGTACAGCACCACCAGCAAGGTATGTTCTGAGCCGCTCCTGTTTGGCGCAACGTACAGCTAACCCAATTATCAGCTTCATCAAACGCGTAAACCAGTCAATGTCTAAGATTGATCCCCTGCTCAAGACACTCCAAGTCCGCCCCTCGCCTCCAGAGGCCCTCGTACAAGCCTACCTCATCCACATTGCCGACAAATCGGACACCAACTTCAAGAAGATCATGGATCTCAAGGGCATCCGCAAGGCTGAGCAAACCCAGCTCCTCGACCTGTTCTCTGCCTTCCGCGCATCGCCCAACCATGAAAATCTGGTGCAGAACTCGCCTTTCCTTACTCCACTGCAAATCCAGACGGGAGGTAGCGTTGGTAGTGCCGCGGGAAGTGTGATGGGCACGATGGGCACACCAAGTCTTGGTGGAGGCAGGTTCGACGCAACAGGTCTGGGCAACATGCTCGTCAACGCTGCAAGGGATGGTGTTGATCGATTCGGTAGTCCTGCGCCGGGTCAGCAGCAGGCTGGAGCTGCTGATGGAGGCGCAAATCTGGAGAGTAATTTGAAGAACATTGGCAAGTTCTTCAGAAGAGATGTCGGGGGTTTTAGAGGGTTTGGACGCAGTGAAGATGGACGATAGACAGGCTTAGGAGACGCGCCCGCTGTTGTATATCAATAGAGACTCGAGGCAGGAATACAATAACAAAAAAAGAAGATGTATTCTAACATCGATGGGTATCAAAATCCGTATTCCACACCATATCCATAACCTGGCGTCTTCAAGACACAAACAAGGACTCTCCATCATCATGTTCTTCTGCGCCCTCAGGTTCCCTCATGTAGACATCGTCACTTCCGATCAGCCCTTCACCATCGCTTATCACCATGGCCTCTCTCCGTCTCCTCCTGACATCCCTCTGCGAGCCACTCCCCAATCCAGGCTGAACGACATCCCACCTGAACCTGTTGTTGGGTAAAAATGCATCATCCCTCCAGACACCCATGTCGCCCAACAAGTTGAAGGCCAACTGGGCGCGATGCAGTACTTCTCCGTCTGCACAGTACAGGTCTTTGATAAGCAGATCCTTGGCTGACTTGGAAGCGTAGAAGCGTGTACATAGGATCTTGGTAGCCGAGGCGCGGATATCGTTGTTGTGACTCGTCGCCAGTGTCAGGAGCGAACTTGTCTTGATGGCATCTTCTTGGTGGGTCGGCGGTCCGGAGGGGATGGCGCGGCGTTGCTGTGGGATGTTTTGGGGGTCTCGGATCTCGGTGAGGGTGCGGATGTGGTTGAGGCCGTGGGAGACTTGCTGGACGGCTATGAAGGTGAAGACGCCTGGGAGATGATTAGCGGGGCTGATGGGTTGGTGAAAGAGGAAGCTGTACCGAGACCGAGCCAGAGCCAGTAATCGGGGATGTTGGATGCCATCGCAAAGGATAGTTGGTCATGACGTGAGGCCTATGGCAGCGAGGCTGGAAGCATGATGTGGTTGTGGACTCAGTTGCGCGCGGGCAGTCATGGCGCTCGTCGCGTGTGAAAGTGGGGCGCGGCTCACAGGTGGCGCTAGACCGGGATCACCATGCCCGAAGTTTTGGCTCTCGAAATAATTTCAGGTCGACCATCTCGAGCCGCCCACGAGCCTCTCAACGCCGAATTCACTATCGGAAGGTCTCCAGGCTTTCGGATATCCTCAAAGATGCCGCCCTCCCAGCTAAAGCGGCTAAAGGCCTCCCTGCGCGAACAGGGCATCACCGGCCCGCAAAAGTCGAAGAAGCAGAAGAAGTCGCAATCCAAAAACGCCGACCACCACGAACGGAAAGCCTCTGCGCTCGCCTCGATTCGCGAATCCTTCAATCCCTTCGAGTTCAAGCACCTTGCGCGCCCTCACAAGCACGAGTACGTCTCTGCGCAGGCTGAGAATGTCCCCAAGAAGATCCTCGGCCGGCCTGGCGTCACGAAGAGCGCGGGCGAAGAGGCACGAAGGAAGTCGCTGCTTCCGGAGATGCATCGCAAGAACAAAGTCGGAGGCATCCTGGATAGGCGGATAGGCGAAGATGACCCGACCATGAGCTTGGAGGATCGTGAGATGGCGCGCTTCGAGAGGGAACAGCAGCGCAAGAGAGGTGGCAATGTGTTTGACCTCGAGGACGATGCCGATGAGGTGGAGCTCACCCACGGCGGACAGTCTCTTCGTTTTGACGATGAGATTGGTGAGGAAGACTACGACGCGGCGAGCATTGCTGGGTCAAGCGACGGCGAAGATGGCTTCTTGAAGAAGAAGAGACGGAGAGACGATGACGATGAAGATGGCGAGGTGGACGGCGAAGCGGCTGCAGATCAGCCAGAGCGCAAGAAGAGCAAGGCAGAAGTCATGAAGGAAGTCGTGGCCAAGTCAAAACAGCACAAATACGAGCGTCAGGCACAAAAAGAGGACGACGACGAGCTGCGCGACGAACTCGACAAGGACCTCAACGACGTACTGTCTGCCCTGCGAGGACACATCAACAAGAAGCCCGAGCCCGAGAAGCCAAAAGA